CATGTCTGGCAACACCATCTCCATCTTCCCCATCATGATGGTCTGCATGATGGCCTGGAGGCCCATACAGGCTCTCATGTCGATGTCAGCGAGTGAGTGTTCAGTATTGAGTTTACCCGCCGGTTCCGCTCTGAATCCGTGTTCGCTTCTGACGCGCTGACCGTGTTTGTCCTGATCGCTCAGCCTTCAAGCTGTTGGAGAGCTCCAGTCAGCAGTGGCTACAGGGGCTCGTCTACCTGATCGGTAACCTCCTAGGAGCGGCGTTGGCCATTTATAAGTGTCAGTCGATGGGGCTGCTTCCGACACACTCGTCCGATTGGCTGGCTTTCATAGAGCCGCCGCAGGTAACGTCACAAACACACACAGGCTGACGACCGTAGACGCTTACCAAAAGAAGCCTTCCAGATGATACAAATGTTGTCGTAATAATAAATGATGACGCGGCGTTTGTTCCAGAATAAGTCAAGCTGGGTTTTATTCTGATATTTCCTAATATGGTATCATACAGAGGGTTGCAATATTTATAATCCAAAATGCCATTTTTGCCGTCAGTCTAATAACTCATAAGAGCCACAGATGTTTCATGAATGACAGAGTAGCAGGGCTATACTGAGAAAAAAGAATAAATGCAGGAATAAAGTTTTATGAGAATAAAGTCAGACTAATATGAGACGAAAGTCATATTACAAGGACAGTCATACGAGAATAAACTTGAAATAATAAGAATAAACTCATATTAAGAGAAAGTCATATTTAAATAGTATGAGAATAAGGTCATAGTATTTTTGAGAAAAAAAGTCAGTATTTTTATAATAAAGTCCTAATAGTACAATAATAAACTTGTAATGTTATGAGAATAACCTTATTCTTGTAATTTTATATATTTTAAAATTTTCTTAACGTGGCTCTAATACTCTGTCGTAATTCGTAATAGGATTTGTACCATGTCATGAATTTTTAAACTATAAATACAGGAGAGCTGTGGTGTTTTGTTGGGCAATATGGCTCTCCAACCAGGGTGTTATTCTGACAGAGGGCAGCTCAAGCGTTTGATCAAATCATTCGCCAGAGGTCGTTTTAAACTCAGTTTGGTGATTTCAGAGTAATGTAGAAGTGAAAGCTGCGACTTAAAGACAGATCAAACCTGTTATGCATTACTCTACTCTGATTACAGATTATTTAGCTTTTTTAAAGAAGAGGCCTGTGAAAAGGCCCTGCTGCGCTGGTTTCTAAAACCAACAGGTTTGGTTGAAACCGGGGCGACAAGGTGTCCGTTTAGCCCCGTTGTCCCCTCTGCAGCTCTGAATCTTGCAGCAAGTTTTATAGTGGTTTTTGTCAATAACTTTCAACTTTGGTTTGTAGTTCTGCTTGACAGAACTACAAGCATAACTTGTTCTTCTCTGTGGTATGCTAGTAAGGTGTTAGACAAGTTTTTCTAACACCTTCAATTGTGCATGGGAACACTCACCTTGAGGACTCTTTTTTTTTTTCTTCTTTTTTCTTTGTGGTAAAGGCAGTAGGTTAAACGTTTAGGATGATCCATCATGTCCAGCATGTGTTAAACAGGGCTGACTTTTTTTCACTTCCGTTACCAATATGTGAGGTTTAGTATCAGCTGATATGGGAAAACAGCACTGAACTGACTTTTTTTTTTAACATAAATATACCGAATTACAATTTTATTTGATCACTCTGCACCACAGTGGCAGAGTAGTGTCATGAGCTTGGTCAAACATGGAAAAACAGCAAAACTTTAATTTGTTCAGCCAGTGCAACAGCCAATGTAAAATAAACAATATATTGAAACTGATAAACGCAATAAACTTGGTCAGACATTAAAAAAATAAACTGCAGCAAAGCTTTCAAATGGTTGAGAAAGTTCAATTAGGAAATCTAAATATAATGTGATATAAATAATAAAGCAAGATGTCACTCAGAGAACAAAGCATAGAATTAGAGTAAATAAATCTGCATTTATGGATCTGGCGCATCGTCACCAATACCTGATTTAGATTTTTTTTTTTTCCAATATCGGGACCGATACGGATATTAACGTCTCTACTGACACCATAATATTTTGTTTTTGTTTGTCCTGGACAGAGGATGGAGATCATGGGCGGAGGGATGGTGCTGTGAAGCGGACTTCCGCTGAGGTCACATACTGTACATACTCCTCTACTCTTCTTCTTCTTCTTCTTCTTCTATTTCTTGCCACACCACCAGGTAGCCCATCGCAGCTGAAACAAAAGCCTGACTTTTAGCCATTTCCAGACGCCATCAGGATCCAGACTCGACCACCTCAGCTAAAACAGACACGTTTACTACAGCACAGCTTAACATCAGGGATTTATCCACCATGTTCTCCATCAGCCCCCTCTCTCTTCTGGGTTTGTTGCTGAAGCGTTACTTTGGTCTTCCTCTCTGGCGATAAGCAAGCATCCTTTTTTTTTTTTTTTTAAATACTCTCATAAAGATAGCAGATAATGTTGACTACTGTTCGGCTACTGTAATTTTCTGTGCAGATAAAAATTGACTTTGCAGTAGATTTTTAATGGGAGTATTTCATAGCTCACAGATCAGAGACCATAACATCACTAATAAAAATCATTTTGTCCGTATAATTTCTGAAATTGTTGGGAAGTCTTCAAAAATGTTTAGCTTTTTTTTCCCCCAAAAAAACAAAAAAAATTTTTCAGTTCAATCACGTTTTTTTTTTTTTTTTTTTTTTAATTGTTGTATATTCAGTTTGTAGTGAAATAATTCAGTTTGTCAACACAACTTCAACCCTCTGCCCAGCAACATTAACTCAGTTTTAATTTATAGGTATGTTTAATTTATGCTGATTTGCCTATGAAAATGTTCTATAAATAAATTCTTATTGCTTGAAATAGAATGTTTTCAACTGTGTCAATAAATATATTGAAGGAAAAATGATGCTTTCTTCATGCTTTAAGAAATAGGTTAATTTTTGCTTCCTGTTGGGTCCAATAGCCTCACTTGACATCACTGATTTGATAAGTGTCCTTTTGTTTGTCTTGATTTTACATTGTATCTGATAAAAACATTTAAGTTTGTCTTTTTAGATCAAACTGCAATAAATACATGGACTTATAGATCACACAGCTGCTTCTCAGTAAATTAATATGGGGTCAAAAAGTTAATTGTTTCAGTAATTCTGTTAAAAGATTAAACACATTACGGAATATATGTGTTTATTAGACTTTCAATGTTTTTCAAGCTTTCAAAGAATTGAAATGTCTACATTTTCAACATAGGTACTCCTCTCCTATGACAGAATCTAAAAATCTCATTGTATGAGTTTTATCTAGAATGTGGCGGTAATGCCCCTTAAAGTTGTTTGTCAACTGCCATAAGATACAAGAAGACAAATCAGACTCCAATCTCAGCACTATGGCAAGATCAAACAGCTGTTTGTCCTAATCCCAGGACAAAATGACCTGCAAAAGGCTGGGATAGGCTACAGGACAATAGGAAAACAGATTGGTAAGAAGGCAACCATTTTTGACACCAGAAAACGGAAGATGACTGTCATTCTCTCTCAGACTGGGGTTCCATGGAAGATATGACCTTGTAGAGCAGGGGTCCCCAAACTTTTTCCTGCGAGGGCCACATGACTGTTCCCTTTTCTGGTCGGGGGCCGGTCTTAGCTTTTCGAGAAAGAAACCTTAGAAAAGTTTTGTTGACCGGGTGGGGGGGGGGGGGTCGGTTGGATTACTGCGGACAACATATTCGCGTTTGTAGAGAGATTTTTACCCAGAATGCAAATGGAAAAAAAACCGTGAGCAAAACAGTGACTGGTACTGACTAGTATATATTCCATTGAGGGAAACTAAGTTTCATATCTGCTCAAGAGCCCCCCTGGTGGTTGAAGAAAAATCCACATATATATGAAAAAAAACACTGAATGCTCTCTGGCATTGTTCAGGGGGCCGGACCAAATGAGGAGGCGGGCCAGATCCGGCCCGCAGGCCGTAGTTTGGGGACCCCTGTTGTAGAGTATCCATGATTGTGAGAAAGTTGGGGAATTATCCCAAAGCTATTTGGGAGTATCTGGTCAATGACCTGAAGAGATGTGGGTCTCCAGTCTCAAAGTTTACCCTTGGTAACCCCAAAACCTGAAAGATCAGGACTAGATCTGTATGGAGAAGTGGACAAAAGCCCTGCTGCATTTGCCTGCAAACCTGGACAGAACAGAACTATAGGAAACCTTTTTTCTTTTTTTTTTTTTTTTTTTTTTTTGACGATTTCCTTTCAAAAAACCTCAACTTTTGCTGTGGTCTGACAACTAATTGGGATTCATGTTATATCCTGTGTAAGTCATATGATTAAAAAGATCATCACTGTCCTTTTTCACTGGTAAAATCACAATTTTATCAAATTTTCCCAAGTAAAACATTTATAAAGAAAAATAGACTTTTAATGTTTGAAATTTAATTAACAGGGTGACTCTGAAAAAACTTTCAAGCTAATGCTGTAATCACTTTTTATAATGAAAATAGTTAACTTGGCCTTTGGGCTAGAAACAAAGAGGCTCTATATTGTAGAAAGAATGTTAATTGCATCAGAGAACAAAATACATGATTTCGTAATTGTTACCCTACATACATGATCCTGGAACCACCTGAAAGTTGATCTAACATTCTTTCAAATGATACCAAGACAAGAACTCTTGGACCTTTTACATGGAAGATCAAATCCATGGGAAAGCAGCAGAGCACAGCACCTCCTTGTGGATGACATGATGCAACACATGTAAACAGTGATCTGTAGGTGAATTAAACTTTTTTTTTTGTTTTGTTACATACTGTATGTATGCCCCGCTGGTAAAACAACAATTTTTCGAAGTGTCGTTCAGTTTCGGGGACCGGTCTGACTCGCCCGAACAAAACCTCCCTGAGTAGGTGTGTACTGTACCGTACAGTGTGTGCCTGTGTGTGTGGGAAGGGGCGGGACAGGTGAGTTCAGAAAGCAATATGTAGATGGGAAGGGCAGAGAAACCGGGCTTCAGCGTGGTGTCTCACGCTTAAGGTAGAGTGTAGGACAGAAAGCGGTGGCGTTTGTTTTTAACCTTAATCTTTGGTCTCGCGTTCCGTCACACTTTTTCTCCACGCGTGTCTGTCAACTTTAGCTTCAACTTTTAAAACTCAAAGGAAGGCGCGAGACGGGAACTCGTGTTTGTTTACAAACAGGTCATCTCCCCCGAAAGTTTTTAAAGGACGTTTGGGTCGAAGAACTTGCCTTCAACTTTTTAAAGACGTTTTAGTTGAGCTTGTCGGCTGCGGGTCGTAGTCATGGAGAAAGGCGACTGTTGCACGGCAACAGAGGAGTACCCTCATCCTTTTGTCTTCGAGGTGAAGCTGACCAGAGCGCAGAGGATTAGGGTGAGTTTGCTGATGTTATATTTAAATTGAAACGTTTGCAATTAGTGGCAGCTTTTCATTTCTTTTCAGTCACAAGAGGGAAGAGACGATCAGCTGCCGCCTGAAACTGATAGGCGATGTTGAAAAGTAGCAATAAAAAATAGTTAATTTGCATTAAACAAGACTTGGGTGAAATATTTTTTGCTAATAAGATATGAAATATATTCATGAATAACATTACATTTATTATATGAAGCAATTGGCAAAAAAATGTAATAAAAATACAGGTTTTTAAAAAATTTCTAAATGCCTTTCATTGTATTTTTAGACAAAGCGCCACATTTATGAGGCAATATGCAGCATTTTTATAGGACTACGTTTCATGTTATTGTCTCACAAATAACATGCCTTTTATGGGGTTCTGCTACTTAATGAAACATTGTAAAAAAAAAAAAAAGCATTATGAATAATTTTTAAGTAACATTTTTTAAGTCAAGCTTCTGGCTTGACTTGTGAATCCTACATCAGCATCTCGCACAGAAACAAAGCGCCTCTTCTACTTCTTATACCCCACAATAGCCAAGTCATAAAGAACTTCATCATAGGCAGGTGTGACTGATAACAAGAGACAGAGTTGCATAACAGTGAGTTTAATATGGCTGGGGCAGGGCAGCATAGTGGAAAGAATGGTTGGTAAAGCATGACATGTTGAACTCGACAGGATTATCTACATTTTTTCATATTAGGTGGGGTGTGTGTGTAGAGGTTTTCAAAATCAGTTAGAAAAACTAACTGAATGCCTATTATAAATAATAGGAATTCTATCTTATCTAGTTTCCGAACAATACGTGTTTACTTTATGACTACTAGAATAAATCTTCTAATATTAACGTTTCTTTTATTTCTCTTGCCGACAGGGGCTCATCCTGGGCAGCGTCCTCGTCCCTGTACGTGTCATGCTGGCAGCCTTATTCTTCCTCATCATGTGGCCCATCGCCCGGCTAAGACTGGCCGGCCTTTCGGAAGAAGAGCGCGCCCGGCCCGTCACGGGCTGGCGCCGCTGGCTGTACCACCCCATCATCTTGCTCCTGAGCAGAGCCGTGTTCTTCTCCTTGGGCTTCCTGTGGGTCAAAGTAAAAGGTCGCAGGGCCGACCTGAAGGAGGCGCCGGTCCTGGTGGTGGCGCCCCACAGCGGCTTCCTGGACATGCTGGTTCTGTGTCCGACCCAGCTGGCAACTGTTGTGTCGCGGTACGAGAACACGAAGCTGCCCGTCATAGGAGGTAAAATGGCTGCACTTTCATGACTCCGATATAATCATGAGGTTGGCAGGGTTGGTGATAGATTCAGGATTTGGCTCCTGGCTTTTTTTTTCTTAATGCCCAGCGAAGAACTGGTTCATTATTTACAGCCAGAGTCGTTCTGTCTTCCCGCAAACAATTATTTAATCTATTGTAAAACATATTTGTATGACAGAAAATCTTTTCTTCTTGGGGGGCGTGTTAGGGTGCTGATGCACCCACAGCCACTGGAAGGCCGTTTCCTTTTCTAGTGCTAAGAATAAAGCCAAAACTTACATGTGAATGCCAAACAGTCAATAAATTATGATATGATGTGTCTTTAGTATAGCAAATAATAAAGACGCAAAACCTTTTCTGAGTCTGGTTGGGGCAGTTGGTGAGTAGAGCAATTACTGGATTCTATAAAATGTGGCTTAAAGCTGAGATGTTGATGTTTGAATATGTAAAATATACACTGCTCAAAAAATAAAGGGAACACTCAAATAACACATCGTAGATCTGAATGAATGAAATATTCTCATTGAATACTTTGTTCTGTACAAAGTTGAATGTGCTGACAACAAAATCACACAAAAATCATCAATGGAAATCAAATTTATTAACCAATGGAGGCCTGGATTTGGAGCCACACACAAAATTAAAGTGAAATGTTCCCTTTATTTTTTTGAGCAGTATATATATTCTCTCTGCTAATAAATCTATAGTTTGGTTTCTGTCAGTTCTAGAAACAAGAGAACAAAGCGAATTTCTCATTATAATGGCCCATAATTTAATTTTACTTAATAGGAGCCATGATTTAAAATCTAACAAACTTTGGCTCCTATATACTTTATGAAATATTTCATCCTATTTGATGATTGCTCTGAATATCGCCATGTTCTACGAACAACTGATGCAATTTATCCAGGGGGAAAAATGTGGAAAAACAGGTGGTTATGTTATTTTTTTCCCAGTCTGTCAGCTTAACATCATGCGCAGACTTGTTGCCATAGCAACCAATATACAACAGCCCTGGGAGCACAGAGCAAAGGTTACGTTCAAGTGCATCAGGAATTAACACTATAAACCCCCCACAAAAACATTTACCACACAAAAATGTACAAACACCAAACAGAACATTCTGTCCTTTTCTGAATTTCCATTTTGCGATCATTAGGAAGTGATCGCCTGAACACTAGCGGTGGTTGATTAGCCATTTTTGAATACAACGTGTATCTAAGCCATACACATAAAGAAAAAAAAGGTGCAAGAAATATTGGTGGGGACATGTCCACACCAGTCCTTCAGGAAGTTACGCCTATTTGGCTAGTTAAGGGGTTTAATTATTTTATCTCAATCTAATAGGTTGATATCACCTTCGGGTAAAAAAAAAAAAAAAAAAAAAAAAAGGTTTTAAAAAAAATTTAAAAACCCCAACCAAATTTTTTTT